ATGATCACTTCACTGACCCAGGCAAAGGGTGTTGTCCTTCTTGGAGTCCAACACTAGATCTGCTTCCAGACATAGTGTATCAGACAAATTTCAACCTGAAGTAAAGCAGGTTAAAATGTGGCAACCATTCAGCCCTCCACTCCAGGGTCACCATGTCCAAGATGCCTACCAATGGTCAACAGTCTTTCTGGTGCAATTCCTATGCCTCTGTTTCAAGAACTTCATAACGTTGGCAATTCTCCAGTTTTCTTGCAGCTCTTCTCCCACAGCCCTCAACTCACATCTTCTGGCCCCTGCAATGTCCCCTCCCCACTCTCCTTTGCCTGTGAGTCCTACCCCTCAGTGCTCACTCAAACTTCCCTCCAGAATCAACCTCATTCCTGGGCTCAGCCTGCCTCTGAGGCTATGTCTATGCTATGGAGAAAAAAATCTGCCGCATCCAGGGAATGCGTCTGGAGCAGACGTGCTCTTTCGGAGGCTCTGTATTCCTCATTTTATGAGGAACATGGGCTCTTCTGAAAAAGGAGTTTTTTCAGACAGTTGGCCCCATCTACACGGGGCCAAATGCTGGAAAAGCCTCTTCCGAAAAAAGAATCGGAAAAATGTATGCAAATTGCGGTTTGCAATTTGCGTACCTTTTTCCGAACCCTCCCTCCTGTCCCCCAGGAGTGTAGACATAGCCTGAGACATAGCCTGTTCTTTAATCCAGGAGGGAGGTTCAGCCAATGAAGTTTATAAATACCACAAGCACAGTTGTTCACCATCAGAATCTATAAACTCTGCCAGTATTTAAAGTATGCTCATGTCTCTGATCAATATACAATTTCATGTGAACTGAAGAACCATCCTTATTAATTCTTTAGCAACCTCCACATGGACCAGATTTTAATAACAGAAGTCTATAAGATTTCAGAGCCCTAAAAAAAAAAGTAAAGAAAGGTGAACCAGTAAAAGCATATGAAATATGCATATGATATGAATATGCCATAACTCAGATAAATCATAACTCAGATATGCTGAATGCAAGATGGCTTGTGTAAAATGTTATTGGAAAGGCTATAATTTACTGATTATCCCCATTTGTACATATGTATCATTTTTGTAGATTAAGTTAGGAATATTGACCTGGGTATCTGTAATTTCATATTTACTGCTTTGGGTGTTACGCACTGCTGACGCTTCAGGTACAACAATGAAAGAGGTCATAGTGCTGATGGCTCATCAGCAAGAGACAATGAACTGTAAAAGAGCTTTCTGGAACATGAGAGTCAGATCATGAAGAATGGCTGCAGAGACATGTAATGGAAGTATTGTAAGCAGGATATGAGAAGTCATTCTTCCGCTCTACTCTGTGCTGACTAAGCCTCATCTGGAGTATTGTGTCAAGTTCTGGGCACCACATTTCAGGAAAGATGTGGAGAAACTGGAGAAAGTCCAGAGAAGATCAACAAAAATAATTAAAGGTCTAGAAAACATGACCTATGAGGGAAGACTGAAAGGACAGGATTTGTTCAGTTTGGAAAAGAGAGGACTGAGAGGGCACATGATAGAATCTTTCAAGTTCCTAAAAGGATGTTACAAAGAGAAAAATTAGTCTCCTCAGTGTCTGATAATAGGACAAGAAGCAATGGTCTTAAATTGCAGCAAGGGAGGTATAGATTGGACATTAGGAAAAACTTCCTAATCTTCAGGGTGGTTAAGCACTGGAATAAATAGCCTAGGATAGGGATATAAAAGAGTAGTAGAATAGTCAACTACCCAATAAGCCTAGGCTACTTGCATCCCTCCCCCCCTTGCTGCCTCTATATCTGGGAGGGAGCAGGAGCCAGTACTGGTGAGATCTGGCTTAAAAGCCGGTTTCCCCTAGCACTGTCTCTGCAGTGCGGGGAGGGGCGGGGGCAGAGGTGGGGAAGCAGAGGCACAGTGGCCCTGCAGCTCTGCCTTTTAAATATAGTAAGAGCCACAGAGGTGCAGCACGGGATCCGGTGCAAGCCAGGACTGAAGTAGTCCTTGCTCGCGTCGGATCCAAGCAGCTCTCACTACATTTGAAAGGCAGAGTTGCAGCAGTCTGGACTCAGCATGAGCTGGGACTGAAGCAGTCCCGGCTTGCGCGAGGTCCCAGAACTACTCACCCTGCAGCTCTGCAGTTTAAATGTAGTAAGAGCCAGGCTGCCTGCTGGAATACTGCCTACAAAATACTGGAACCCATATTGATTTCTGTACTTTTCCATGAGAAGCTGGGTGTGAGTCAAACTTGAAACAAAGGACTCCCACCTTAAATCCTATTTAAGGGTGGGGAGTGAGGTAATCTTAGTTTTCAGTCCTCCCTGGCTACCTCAACCAAGATAACTGTTGGAAACAACTAAGTATGAACTGAGGGAATGATTGGGCCCAGGCTAGAAGGGTGCCTGGCCTGTGAGGGAAGACTATTTGAACCACATTTAGGGTGAGATCTTACATATAATTAGTTTGTTTACTGAATTTATCTTAGCCTGCATGTTTGTTTATTTTGCTCAGTTATCTACTTTGTTCCGTCTGCAATTAACCTAGTGAAAATAATTACTATCAGAGGAGGGGGAAGGAACCTGTGCATATCTCTCTTTACCTTGAGAAAGAGGGCGAATGTCATTAGCTTACACTGTATATATCTCTACACAGCCTAAGACAGATTTAGTTTAGATCTCAGAGGGACTGTATACTTGATTGCTGTGGAAAGGTCTCACAGGGTACGTCTACACTGTGACGCTATTTCAGGATACCTCCGGTATCCCCAAAACAGCTATTCTGTGTTATTTTGAAATCTAACGGGCTCACTATTCTGACGTCCTTGAAAACCTCATTTCATGAGGATTAAGGGATGTTTCAGAATAGTAGTTTATTACAAAATTTGGCATTGTGTAGACAACGCCAAATTACAAAATAAGATATTTTGAAATTAACTTGAAATAAGCTATGCAATGTGTGTAGCTCAGATTGCGTAGTTCATTTTGAGTTAAGGGTGCAGTGTAGATGCACCCATACTGTACTGCTTTCAGACTGTGTCTGCAGCGTTGGGGTTTTGCCCTGTCCCTGTGTCTCAACTGAAGCAGGCCAAGAGCTAAGCTCAACAAAAGAGGGTTATAGGGTGTCCAGGCTGTCAGAGGAAACAGACTCAGTGGTGTCTCAGCACGTCAGGTGACAATCTGAAGGGTGTCCCTCCTGACCCATCACAAACATATTTTCTTTTGCCTGACAACCAAAGCTCTTTAATAATGCAACGGAGCCTTCATAGACTAACACATTTTGAATAAAAAGATATGTTGAAAGAACTTTTTGTGTTACCAGGTTATTCGTTTAACTAGTTTCTTGTATAATGGTATGATCAAACATATTGATATAATTGAAATTGTCACCATGTCATAGGATTTTAGGTAGGGTGTGTTCATTCTAAAAATATTTCTCCTATGCTAAAGCACTCACTTCATTAAAATTATGAAAGTATGCACTATATTGCCATTAAATCAGTGATATTAAACAAGACTAAACCAATCCCTGTTTCCCCAGAAGAAAAAAAAATGACTTGAGAGAAATAACCCTACTACCACCAAATCCTATCTCATAATATAGGACTGTTCTTATATTTTCTGTTCTTCACATTTTCCTTTAGAAGTGCCTGGACCTTAAAGTGCATGGTCTACATACAAGCAAGTGTCATTAGAAAACAGCTTTATCCTCTGTTTCTGCTCCCAGCTATGTAGAGGCACCAAGCTGCTGTACAATTGATGTTTATAAATCAATGTTTATTTCAAAGGAATAAAGTGGAAAACAGGACACGGGATGCTTACTCAAGGAAGATTTACTCAGTCATATATCTTACATCTACTAGTGCAAGTTGAAAACCATGTAAAGCATTTCATACTGAAGTTTTCTTTTCTTTTTAATTTTAAATTATATTTTAGTGTCCAAAGAACATAAACCCTGGGACAAATGTATTTCATACTAACCAAACACAGTTCAATTATAAAAATGTGTGAATAGCACTCTTTAACATCTGTAGAGACTGTCTGGTTTGTCCAATATACATGGCATTGTTGGCACATGATGGCATATATCACATTAGTAGATATGCACGTGAATGAGCCTTTGATGGTATAGCTGATGTTGTTAGGTTTTCTGATGGTGTCACTAGGATAAATGTGTGGATAGAATTGGCAATGGGGTTTGTTTCAGGGATAGGTTCCTAGATTAGTGTTTCTGTTGTGGGGTGTGAAGTTGGTGAATATTTGCCTCTGCTCGGGGGGCTGTCTGTAAGTGAGGACTGGCCAACCTCCCAACGTCTGTGAGAGTGAGGGATCATCATCTCTGATAGGTTGTAGTTTATTGATGATGTGAAGGAGAAGTTTTAGTTGGGGGTTGTAGATAATGGCTAGTGGTGTTCTGTTGCTTTCTTTGTTGGGTCTGCCCTATAGGAGATGACTTCTGGCTTTATTTGACTTCAGAGTGAATGTTGTCTGAGACTGACACAGAATCATGAAATTGGCAGAGCTGAGCATGGGTCTTCCATAAAAATATCTCTCAGTAACTGGTTTATTTTGATGACCATATAGTTCTTGAATTAACAATTATTAGACTATGATCTTGCTTCTTTTACTGCACTAAGTAGTCTCTCTGACTTGATGTCCATGGAGTGTGATCATACAAGTAGGAACAATTTGGTGATTTTTTGACTGCTTAGTCATGCTATTTAAATACCAGATTTACAACATAGATATCTTCCAGTGGTTAAGTATTATTGGATCTTTTACATGCATGTTATTCCAAAATTTAGTTATCAGAAACTAAAGCTGTAGACTTTCCTGGAATGTGTGTTCCTTCCTCCCACTCCCTCCACTTCCACCCCCGACTGGCATTGCACAAATTTATCTAGAGCAAACAAACTCAGGCGCTTGTGCAAGAGGCCTCAGGTAACCAACTGGGGGTGGGTTGCATGTAACTCTGCAAACAGAAGGGAACATAATGATTAATCTAAGCTATCCATGAAGGTTTAAAATGAAGCAAAAAAAACAAGTGGAACGTATCCTTTCTGTCAGACTCCTCCTCACCCTGCCACTGAAGATGATACCGCTGAGGATCTTGTGCATGTGGCTGTGCCTCAGCATAGCCTGGGTATGATTTTACTTTATTTGATTCTTTTGATAGTTTGGCTTTCTCTTTTTAAAAAGGGGCATTTTTATTGAATGAACAGTCACACAGCAAACTGACAAAATTCTCTTTGGTTATGAGGTAGCTTGAAAAATTCACACATGTACACATGAACACAAGTCTCACCACTTCATCACCGGCCTTTCCCTCTTGAGTCTCTTCTGCATTTTATTGTCTGTCTGGTTCCTCAAGAAGCACTTGAGATGAATTTTGCTTAAAGTATCTGTCAAGGCAAAGAGGCTAAATGACCAATAAGCAGTAGATTCAGAGGTGAGATTGTAAGTCTTTAACCCATTCCACTGCACCTAGATAGAAAGGTTGCCAAACAGTGTGGGATTTTAGACATTATTAGCCAGATTCTACTCTCAGTTACATCCCTGGATTCCAGTTCCTGTCATTGAGATTCTCTGGGTGTAAATGAGGCAGAATTTGGTCCCATCCTTGCTAAAGTACATATGCATAGAACAAGAATGTTGCAATTGATTTCAGTGGCAACATAATCAGGCTGAAAGGGAGCTCAGGAGTTATTGTTTTTTCAATAAAGAGAGTGGTAGCCTTAACTCCCAACAATGCTAATTGAACAACAAGAAGTCCTGTGGCACCTTATAGACTAACAGATGTATTGGAGCATAAGCTTTCGTGGGCAAAGACCCACTTGATCAGATCCACTTCGTCAATGCTAATTGAACACTCTTGTTGGCTAGTTTAAGATTCCGCCTATATTACTATGGTAAATTCTTATATACATATTTCCTTATTATTCTTTTTGAAGAAATCAGAGTGTGTGGGGTGATCTGGTTTAATAGTCTGAGTGAACTTGGAGCCATTACATTCTTTCATGTAGTTGTATGTCAAATCAATATTTAAAAGCCTATGAAGCATAGTTAGGAACTTTTTTTTTTTGCTCATTAGCTTAAAGATATATATGTGGCAGATCCTTAGCTGGTGTAAATTCAGCATTAGTCTGTTGATTTTAAAGACTTTACCCCAGTTGACACTAGTTGAGGAGCTGGCTCTGGAAGCTAAAATCTTTGCCATCTCTGACAATATATTTTTATTCTACTTTGATAATTGGTAATGTGTTCAAAGGAGACCAGTGCCACTTGATACCTCTCAGAAAAACTGTCCCATCTCTTAGAGAAATAAAAATATTGCCATGCCCACTTTTCTGAGCAAAGATTAGTATGCATGGTCAAAAAACTTTATGACATTTTCATGTAGAATTAGTTAGTGAACAAGGACTTTTTCCTCTTTCCGGATTATATAAAATCTTATTCTGTTTATTTCCTCTTTCAACCACCAATATCATGTTATTGCTGTTGTTACTGTTGTTGTTATTGTTATTTTCCTGTGCTTTTCAAGCTATGTCTAACAAGTGTTATAAGTTTATAGTTAACATCTGATTTTGAGCCACACAATTAAAAACCACCATGAAAACTAAATGACTATCAACTCACTTTAAAGCAGTTGTATTATGAAAACATATGATATTAATTGCAAGCTTAATCATTCTGTTATTAAAATATCTTAAGCACCATTCAAATCCCATAATCATCTGCTTTAACTACATTCAAACGAGAAACTTATTTCATAGAATCATAAGAAGATTAAGGTTGAAAGAGACCTCAGGAGATTCATCTAGTCCAACCCCCTGTTCAAAGCAGGATCAACCCATTCCAGTCAGGGCTTTGTCAAGTCTGGCCTTAAAAGCCTCTAAGGAGTCCATCACCTCCCTAGGTTACCCATTTTAGTGCTTCACCACCCTCATCATGAAATAGTGTTTTTTTAGTATCAACTTGGACTCCCCCACTATAACTTGAGAACATTACTTCTTGTTCTGTCATCTGCCACCATGAGAATAGCTTGGCTCCATCATCTTTGGACCTCCCCTTCAGATATCTGAAAGCTGCTATCAAATCCCTCCCCCGCATTCTTCTCTTCTACAGACCAAATAAACTCAGTTCCCTCAGTGTCTCCTCATGCACCTTAGTCCCCTAATCATTTTCCTTACCTTCCACTGGCCTTTAAACAATGTATCCACACGCAAAACTGGACACATACTCCAGATGTGGCTTCATCAGTGCTGAATAAAGGGGAATAATCACTTCCCTAGATCTGCTGGAAATGCTCCTACTAATGCATTCCAATGTGCCATTAGCCTTCTTGGTAACAAGAGTGCACTGTTGACCCATAGCCAGCTTCTCATCCACTGTAATCTCCATGTCCTTTTCTGCAGAACTGCCACTTAGCCAGTCATTCCTTAGCCTATAACAGTGCATGGGGCTCTTTTGTCCTAAGTGCAGGATTCTGCACGTGTCCTTGTTGAAACTCATCAGATTTCTTTTGGCTCAATCCTCAAATTTTTCTGAGTTACTAGATCCTATCTCTACCCTCCAGCATATCTACCCCAGGCTAATGTCATCCCTGAACTTGCTGACAAAACAATATTTCATGAAGAAAATTTACAGACTAGATTATTTACACTGATTATATTTTACCACACACCTATATGAACCACATGTTAACTATTTCATAGAACATTATTTTCAGCATTATTGCTTCATTGTACTGTCGCCTGCGAAATAAATCTCACATTTGTTTTTTTCCTTTGTCTTCATGGCAGGCAACAAATGATGAAAGCACATTTTTGAAAGAGGGAGGAGGAGTGCGTGGCCCCAGAGTGATGGAACATGCAAGCCAATCTGAATGCAAACAGGATAAGGGCTGGCCTTTCTGTGCAGATGATGACTGGGTAAGAAAAGAAGAGGAGAAGCAGAAAGTTCAGCAAATCACTGTTACCCAAATGGACCCCAAGCCCTTTGGTGCCTTTGTGGCATGAACATTTACACTAAAGTTAGGCCTGCATCTTACATGGTATATCTGTAATGCATCAGTAGTCACGGATGTTTTACCTGATTTGGAAGGAAAACTGCTTCATGGGTCAACAATGTAGTTGTATTCGTAGTTACAGTCCAACCACCAATAGAGCATTCATTATTGGATCTTCAGGACCCAGGCTTAGTGAGTATTGAAAGCAGGCCTTTTGAGGCCCAGTCCTGAGTTTTAACCACAAGACCAAACCTCTTCAACTGAAAATAAATCGGCCTAATAGTGGAAGCAAAATGCAGGACAATGTAGCACTTTAAAGACTAACAAGATGGTTTATTAGATGATGAGCTTTCGTGGGCCAGACCCACTTCCTCAGATCAAATAATGGAAGAAAACAGTCACAACCATATATACCATATATGGCCTAATAGTGGAGTGAGTGTAAGATAAAGGAGGGTATGAGGCAAAATCTTGCCCTGAGCTCATTTGTTGTTTTCCAGTTTTGTAGAAAAATTGGTAGTAATAATATTAAAGAAATATTTATCATTCAGATATTTAACTTTCATTTTTGCACATTTTAGGGTCACAAATGTCCTTCAGGCTGCAGGATGCAAGGGTTGATTGATGAAACTGATAAAGATTTTCATCACAGAATACAAAGAATTAGGAACCTACTATTAGATAATGAAAACAAGTACAAAAAATCCAACGTGTTAACTGTGGAAACAATTAATTTCCTGAAAGGAAATCTGGCCAGTGCCCTGGGTAAGTGTCAACACTGCTCTAAAATATATACCAAAGTTACATTAACTTCTGTTAAAAGCAGGTAGATGAAAACAGGTTTACTTTGTCCTTCTTATCAGATCACCATGACTTAAAGATATTGGGCCTGACTCTTCAGTGGATTGCACCAGTTTTACATTAGTGTAATTAAATACATAATGCAGTGGAGAATTAGGCCTATCATTTTAAGTACTTTTTATAATTTATAATTTACTTTATACTCTTTTTGTAATATATGAGATTTTTTGGCAGTGTGTGCAAGAAATGTAGGATCAGACTCTAAATCTATAACTGAAAAATGTTTCAAATGCAGACCTGAGCCGAGAGAGATAGCAGCTATTGGCTATGGCAAGTGCAGGATTAGAACCAGAGTAATATTCTACAGTAATGATCTTCAAACATTTCAGTTTACATAGGACTGAAACCTGTAATGCTTTTGGAAGAGAAAATCTAATTGATTTTTTAAAAATCACTTGCTCTTTTACCATAGTTTAGAAACTCTTGCTACATCACTATAGATGAGAACGCTTAATCATTTTTTAAAACATGGATGGATGTTTCCTCTTCCAAATTATACTTTTGCCAGAAAAATATTTGTGCAAAAGCAAAAATACATTTGCATTCTGTATCTAATTTTACATATCTAAAATCTTCATGATTATAGTGCAAGTTTGTTCCAGCCACACAAATTCCATATTTGTTCCCATACTTTTTAAAAAATGGTAATTTTGTGCTACAAAAGGAATCAAAATGTGCTTGTTTTCTTTGCAGAGCTAATGTTTCTAAGACACACTAGATTTCTTTCCTGCATTACTTTGCACGACCAGTTAATATTTAAATAAAGTAAATATATTACAATGCTGCTTATTATCAAAAAGGCAGATCAAACATAATAATGAGACTCTTAATTAAAATAAAATCTTGAGCTAATTTCTATCTATTTAATAAAATATTAACAGGATCTCATGTAAATTTGAATTTTTGTAAATGTATTGCTATTTTTTTAATCTGCTCAGCTGACAAGAGCATTTTTCTGTTCCAGAGAGTGACAACAAATATGGACAAATTTCAGAAGATCTGAGAAGGAGACTTGTTTTATTAAAGCAGAAAGTTCTTGTACAAGTAAACAGGATTAAAGTACTGCAAAACAGTATCCGAGACCAGGTTGTGGAGATGAAACGCTTGGAGGTAGGTGACTGTCATGTAATTTTCTTTATTTCCCAAGCATAGCTACAAAAACAGGATCTATGAGTCCTTACATCCAGAGCAGTTCTGCAGCTGAAAAGAAAATGAATCAATAATCTCACTAGGTCTACTGTCAATCCAAACTCTGCCTATATGAGACAGATATCCTCAAACTCTAATAGGCTTTTCTGCTCAGTGAGGCTCAGATCCTCCCATTTGGGACTCAGATGCCCCTGAGGACTCATCAAGATGGTTAGCTCTCTCTCAGTTATTTTCTGTGTTGTTTCTCCTCTTGTGTTACTGGGAAAGCTTCTGTCTACTGCCCTCTCTTTGGTAGGAAACAAGAATTGATAGTATGTGTCCCTACAACTGGCCCTGATTAGCTTTGGTGAATGATGTTCCTCCTTCTCTGAGGAGCTGCAGTCAGAGCCTGATTAGAGACTTGGGAGCAGCTAGAATAGGAAGGAGCACCTCTAAAAGTATCTCATCTCTCTTCTGGGCTCTCACAGCTGGAGTGTAGCCCATCTACATTTGGATTAAGAGGCTTGGCTTTTTGATTAGTTATTTGAACTGATGACAACACAAGATGGCTGTCAGAAGGCAATAGGACAGGTCAAGGAGCAAAGTCAAAGTGATGGCCTGCCAAAAAATACCCTAGCTCACTAAGAAGTGTGAGCAACATCATTCTGAACCCTGATGCAGAGGCTGATGCTTCATCAGTCACTCCTTCGAACCAGTGATCCCCACCCACCATACTACTATTGGCATGTGATTTTTTAAACAAGTACTGTAGATTCCCCTGCTCTACTGAGGGCCCACATCTGCCACTCTGCCTTGCTCTGAGTAGTACCTTACTCCAAGAGAATCCAACACAACCCAGTGGGACCATATTATACAGCGTGAATAAGACTGGCAAAAATTGGGCCATGTAGGGATGATTTTAGTGTTTCCAGTTATAAATGCTGCAATCTTCAGCCGTGCTTTGGTGCTTCAGATTTAAAGACCACGTTTGGAGTAGGTAGGAGCACAGGCAGTTGACCAAGAATGGATTTTATTACAATCACCAAAGGTCTCACTTTGACCCAAAGAGATAGGTGTTTTAAAGAGTCCAGAATCACCAACTAAACACATGTATTTCTCTCTGTCTCTTGTAAAGGTGGACATTGATATTAAGATACGTGCCTGCAAAGGATCCTGTGCTAAAAGTTTAAATTACCAGGTGGACACAGAGAGCTATGAAAATATCCAGAAGCAGCTCACACAGGCCAGTTCAATCGATCTGCAGTCTGTACTTGAAACTAGTTCCTTGAAGGTGCTGAAAATGAGGCCACTGAAGGACTCTATTGTTCCTGCGCATTTCAAAACTCTGCCTCAAACTCAAGAACTAAACATTCTTGATGAAATTGTACAGGTTGTGATGACTCTAGAACGGCCAGAAGGCGAGGAAAAAGTAGAAACCTCACGTGTTTCAGTAGTATCAGGGGTAGGTGGAGGAGCACAAGATGGCAAAACAGTGACCTCTAGCCATGGGAAGGAAACTGTTGGTTTGGGAGGAAAGCATACCTCTATAATCCGCCATACATGTACCAGAACTATCACCAAAAAAATTATCACTGGTCCTGGTGGCCCTAGAGAAGAAATTGTTGAAACAATGACTTCACCTGATGGTTCTGACTGCTCCCATTTTCAAGGTTCAGGGAGGGAAGAAGTAACTGGCCGTGGGGACATTACACATGTCAGAGTGACCTCTCAGGGTGGAACAAGTGACTTATCTAAATTAATCCCAGAATATGAAAAATTTTTCACTGAATCCGGGTCCAGTAGTAGCAAATTCCATACCACCTACACAAGCGATAGTGGCACTGACCATGGTACTAGAACTGGAAGTTTTGGCAGTGGTACTGGACGTTATAGCAGTGGTGGAACTGCTAGTCACACTACGCATTCTGGAGGGACAGAAAGTTTTGCAGATCTAGGGGAGGGGGAAGAGGACATCTTTGATCCTCACTTTGACCCATCTAGGTTACCTTCCAGCAAAGTTCAGAGTGGCAGTTCGGCTCATGTGGAGACAAGAGTGACCAGCAGCAGTAGCAGCTCTACTAGTTTCAACAAGGGTGGCTCCACTTTTGAAACCAAATCGCTAAAGAGCCGAGCAGTGACTGAGGAGTTAGGTGGGTTGCAACACGAGGAGAGTGGAGAGGATACCCCAGACTTTCGGGCACGCAGCTTGAGAACAGCAGGAGAGAAGCTTGGGACAAGCTACACTGGGACAGGTATCCATCCACATGACTGAAAATAGATCCTGAGGTAGCAGAGCCAGATTCAGTCAACAATCAAAACTGACACACTGGTTACACTGAAAAACATTTAATTTGATTATACAGTACAAGCAATGTGTCTGTTTGTTGCCATTTAGATAGACAGAAACAAAATTTTATATCAATAATTGGATGCTAAATGAATTGCACAGAGAATGTTATTTTCCATTTAAATTGCATGTAAACTCTCCTTTTTTAAAATGTTGCATGGCACATTTCCCAATGTAGTCCAAAATATGGTTAGCAAGTTCCCCACAATATTACTACTGTTTGGATTCCAATGAGCCTATGTAAAGTATTACTGATAACTTCTGTCAACCAGATCAACTTTTTTTTTTAGACTGTGATGATATCCGCCAGAAACACACTTCTGGTGCCAAAAGTGGCATTTTCAGAATCAAGCCAGCAGGATCCGATAAAGTTTTTTCAGTTTATTGCGACCAAGAGACCACTTTGGGAGGATGGCTTTTGATCCAACAGAGATTGGATGGATCAGTGAATTTTAACCGGACCTGGCAAGACTACAAGAAAGGTTTCGGCAGCATGGATGGCAAAGGGAAAGGAGAGTTCTGGCTGGGCAATGAAAACATCCACTTACTGACCCAGAAGGACACTGTCCTTCGAGTCGAATTAGAGGACTGGGATGGCAATGAAGCTTATGCAGAATATAATATACATGTAGGTTCTGAGTCCGATGGTTATGTCCTCAGTGTGTCTGCTTATGAGGGGACTGCTGGGGATGCACTGATCATAGGCTCAGTGGAGGAAGGTATTGAATACACAGCTCATGCTAACATGAAGTTTAGCACTTTTGACAGGGACAGTGACCAATGGGAGGAGAACTGTGCTGAAGTGTATGGAGGAGGCTGGTGGTACAACAACTGTCAAGCTGCTAATCTCAATGGCATTTACTACCAAGGAGGCCAGTATGACCCAAGGAACAATGTTCCTTATGAGATTGAAAACGGAGTGGTCTGGATACCATTTAGAGCCTCGGACTATTCTCTCAAAGTTGTTAGAATGAAAATCAGGCCCATAGAAACCCAGTAGGCAAACCACAGTAAAACAGGCATTATTATTATTATTATTAATATTATTATTTTGTTTACTATACCTCAAAATACATAGAATATCTCTATACAGTCTAACTGAAGACAACCAAGACACATTTGTACTTTAAAAATAAACATTGTTTAATTTTAAACAATTTCTTCCTTCTTATTCACAACCAAGACTGTTTGAAAAAAATGCCATTTCATAAATCTTTATAATGGGTAATAAAAGTAAGTTATTATAGCAAGCATGGCTATTACAGGATTTCAGGAAACACATTTTATCTGAATTTTGTTAAATATTTTCACAGATTATGCAAACACACATTTAAGGTAATAAAATTAAATAATGATTATAGCTTGCTGGTCTCTTCTAGTCAGCTATCTATTTTCTAGCAGACGTTAATTAATAAAAAGTTCTCTGGTATGCAGTGATCTTCTCAGGACAGAGTTGGAGTTCAACTTGCTGTTATTCTGGAGGGGACACACTATTTCTGAGGTCAAATAGTTCACATTTTAAATCAAGAATTATATTCCACCTACAGAAAAACTCAAATAATATTTTAAGGTGGAATTTTAAGAGTGCTTTGTAACAAACCAGCTGGTTCCCATAATACCCTCTTTCCATTCTACATTCTTGTAAAAAACATAACATTTGCTGATTGACCTTAATTACACTAAAGATATTTTAAAAGTCACACAAAACTCTTACTGCAATATTCTAAAACATTCCTGGAAAAGGACACTTTGGAATGGGAGCCCTCCTTTACAAGTTAGAAAAATAGTGAATATCCATGCCCAAAATTATGCAAAACATCATTTACAATACAAAGTTTACATTTTTGTAATAGGCTTTCTTTCAGAATGTACTGTTAGACTAGCACTGGGCCTTTTCAATGGGAAACTCTAAAAATGTAATGTATCTTCTCCTTTTCGATGCATGGACTTCCCGTAATCACAAGCAGAACATCACATAAGTCACAGAGGTAATTTATAAAACCTTTACAACCCTTTACAAACTCCCACTAAATTAAAAAGCAATTATTGCTCTTGAAAGCCATTGTACAAGTGGAATTAAAGTAATTACTCGTTTAACACGTGCCCACTTAACACGTTTTTGCAATAGCACATTTTTTTTTAGGGAACATTTTTTGAATAACATTACCGTCCCCAAAATAACATTAAAATTATCAAGTGGCAAACTACTTTGCGTGGCGGTATAAGTTGGTGAAAACAGTGGCAATACGCATGACTAGATGAATGCACATGATCACAGTGCTCCTCCGCTCACTCACGTGTTTATCTTTGTGTTTTAACAAACCGCGGTGACTTGTGTTGATAGATACCTTGTGTTGCTAGATATCTAATGTTGACGTTGACGACCCAGCACCAACAAAAAATTGACTTTGCTACCACTACCTGAAATGCAACCCCCACCTTTTCCATTATTTTTAATGGGAAAATTGACCCCGCATAACACGTTTTCGCTTAGCACAAACACTTTCAGAAACACATCTATACTGTTAAATGTGGAATTACTGTATTAGACCAGATGCTTTTCACGAGGCATAAGGGATCGGTCGGCAAAGGCTTCCCCAGACAACCGATGCGCGTCTAGACTACCGCACTGTGTTGGATCAGCTGATTGTCAGCACAGCGCAGTGGCCATATTTATTTTAATGAAGCGGGGATTATTTAAATCCCCACTTCTTTGCCTATGCCTGATAAACTAGTTTACATGGCTCTGTCGATGGAGCCATGTAGTCTAGACATACCCCAATTGAACAATTTCATTCTGTGTCCCTCCTGCAGGTCCCAACACACAGAGGTGAAGTGAAGCTCCACACAGATTGCTGTGTGATGTGCTAGCAGTTTCCTGTCTTGCACAGAACAACATTGTTTCTGGAGAAGGAATCAGAGTCTTTCATAGCCACAAAGGAAGGAGGAAGGCAGGATTTACCTTTAATAAAAGAAAATACTTAAGCATTTGGGGGAATGACTAGATGGCTGTGGGCATCTTAGTCCCCAGTCCTGCAAACACTTCCACAAGTAGCTCCTCCACCCCATCTCTGCCTTGTGGCTAGTTCACCATAAATGCTAGAGTGTAACTCACCAAAGCAAGGTTCCCAAAACGAGCTTATTCAGGGAGTGGAAAGCATTTGACTGAAAGTGTCTACATTCAGTTTAAGGCCTGATTCTGCCACATTTATTTACATTGCTGTGAGAGGAATCCCACGGAGTTTAATAGAACTAGTAACAGAACACTAGTACCTAGTGTGAATGATCCATAATAGTATATTAGATTTAATAGTTCGTTTTTTCTTCATATGTTTCTTTCCTGTAATGTGTAGTGAGGGTTCATGCACAACTGTACGATGTTTTATATACTGACATACTGATAAGAATATTTTTTAATTAAAAGCTTATCTGTATGGAGGTACAATTATGTGCTTTGGTTAACAAGAATGCATTGTGCTCATCCTGCAGATATGTACCTTTAGGGTTCAAGCTAACCAACAAATATTCACTGTGCTTGAGTTTTCTTTCTGACACTGAAAGCATGACTGGCCTCTCTCTGCTTCTAATCCCATGATTTGATTAGCATGTGTTGTAACAATATCTTTAGGCATTGACAGAGGGGTAATCATGGACCCACTCTTCTAGTTGTCACACAGTTCTTGTCAGACTGAGCTTCATTACTTAATATCAGTGGAGGTTTTGCCAAAAATAACCCTGAAGTTCCCTCCATGGTCTCGTGTGGTCAGGAACCTGTGTTCACAGAAAGGGGGGCTTTTGCCTCTCTATAGAGGCTGTAACAGGGCAGTCTGAGTCTCTATGGGCCAGGGGCCTGACAGTGCTGTCCAATTATCAGACCCAGGAGAACAGGTGTCAGGTGATGCTTATAAGAACTCTGATAACTTAGTTGGAGGAGGGCTGCAGAGAGGACACTTGGTCCTAGAACTGGCCCTATAGTGGACAGGGGTGAGCAGAGTGAAACGTTGCTGGACCCCTGTAGCCTGAGTTGGTCAGGGAAATAACTTCGGTTTGTGTTACTTTGAGCATTTTTGTGAATAAAAATACAATATTTTGTCATAGTAGAAAACATTTAATAAACAATATGATATCTTGTGTCATCTGTTTGAAAACATTTGCTTATTCACTGGTCACATATAAAAAACTATAATTTATAAGATACTTTCATTTTAAGATTTTTGTTATCTTAAACATTTTCACTGAAACTAAAGTGTCTCCCTCCTCATATCTGGGTTTGAATGGTTTTATAAGCAAAAGGAATGGATATTTTAATATGGATCTATTTCTAGACTAACAATATAGCTGTCAGTTACTTCCATCATGGGATCAAGTACAAATGGTACAAAAGACTCTTGCAATGTTTTATTTAATGGGTCATACATAAGTTTTTCTGTCCAGCATAGCTTCTTCAGTTCATGTCACAATATATTCAAAAACATAATCTTTGGTATTTTGGGTTGTCTTATGTAAAGTCAAAATCAAATATCATGCACTAGCAGACGTTAACTTAGATATGTGCATGAAAACATTTGATAACGTTCATTTTAATTATGATTATTGTGGAAAGAATGGTCTAATCTTCATACTCATCTTCTTCAGTGAATACCAGGACCCTTTCCAGTTCATCCATACAACTCCATCATCTGTGCCATGTTTTGCCATATCCCAACTGTACTGCCCTCCCCAATAATATCTGCCATTTGGATTGGCTGAATGGCATCGATTGTACCACCAACCACCACCATCTTCTTTAGAACACTGTTTTCTTGGATCAGCATGAACCCTGGAAGTGGCAGGGGAAGGGAGAAGGAAAACACAGTTAATAGAGATAGATGCATTGTTGCTAAATAATACATTAGTATAGGTATCTATGTTTTCTGATCTTCAAGATGCAGTAAAATTAGCTCTTAATTTTCCACACTTCATATGGGCATCTGTTATGCATAATAACATATGGCTGAGTTCAAACCCCAAAGAGTTGATAATGAAAAGGATAGGCTCACAGGGAACATCTATCTACAATGAATCTTGAAATAGAGACTGTCCGATTAGGCAATCTTGTGTTTTAAGGAACCATCCTAAAGAATTTGTATACAATTCTCCTGCTTTTTAGAATACAAATATCATGGTGATGTAATGGCTCTGAACAATACATACCATATGGATTTGCCAATGCAAGCAATTCCTCTATTAGTAAATACAGTATTATAATAGCACAAATGATTGTGTAAAAGTGTTAAAGTGAATTTTAGAGGTATAGCGCCAAAGAGATTCTAAATTATGCACCTTATCAGTATCAATTGAAATTCTTTCTTTCCTTGATTAGGTTGAATTTATCCATTAGAACAGGATATTTTGCTAATTTCTGCAGTGGATCTCATTCCTTTTTGGCTCACACTGATGAAGGTACAGCGATCTGCTCCCATTGACTTCACTGTCAAAATTTCCATTAGCTTCAGTGACAGCAACACTGGAGCCTTAAACTCATGGGTTACTGTGAATGATAATACAGCATCCAAAGGTGCCAGGCTGTAGACACTGATGTGATTCTTAGAACAACTTCAACTCCTACTGCCATGTGTCTGCAGGGGCTCCATTTCTGATTCTGCTACAATTCTATTCTAAATCATAATTGAGTCAAATTCTGCCCTTGAATACTCCAGTGGTGCAGTGAATGCATTTGGCTGATGGCTAGGAGTTAGTAAATATATTCTAAGAGATTGTGAAATTTTGCAGAATTACCACATATTAGCATATTAGACTGTGGAACAATCCATATTCAGCTGCACATAAAGCAGGATGATCTCCAAATTGATAGCTTCATCTCGATGTTAAAAAATATTGCTAATGCAAGTACATACCATCCATCATTGTCTCTGTCAAAAGTGCTGAAGAACATGCCATTGTGAACTGTCATTGTTCTGTTCTCGCCATACAGTTGTGAAGCTCCATCCATAAGAGCATTACCAGCTGTGCCTTTATAGTTACTAACTGATAACTGATATTTGTTTGCTTCATTTTGTATGGTGAATCCTCTATAATGAGCTGAAACCTTGTCACCATTCCAGTCTTCCATTTCAATTAAAACCTCAGTGGGTCCCATTTTGGTAAGCTGGCTGATTTTGTCATTTCCAAGCCAATATTCACCTGACAACCAAAAAAGGAAACTCGGTGAAACTACTTATAGAACATGCTTTACGGACACTTGAGTATTTCCTGATAAATCAGCTATAGTTAATGAACACCCTTTGATTCAGGGTGGATAGCTTTACAAAATAGGGATGTGAACAACTAGTCAACTTATCGGATTTGCTTATCCGATAGGCGACACACTAGTTGACTTGTCGCTTCCCCCCCCCCCCCCGGGGAAGAGAATGGAGGCAGCAAGGGGGCAAAAGAGATAGGGATGCTTCAAAGCAGCAGTGCCATGTGCAACCCAGCGGTAGTTGAGGACTCCCCCACTGACCCCGGGCTCCATGCAGCAGTGCCATTTGAAACTCCACATAGGCCTGACACTGGGCTCCCCGCAGCATTTCAAATCAGCAGCGCCTCATGGAGCCTGAGATCAGCTGGGGACTCAGAGTCCTCAGCTGGCCCTGGGCTCTATGTAGTGCTGCCACTTTGAAAAGCCACAGGGAGCACAGGACCAGCAGGGCTCAAAATCAGCCCTGCTGGCCCTGTGCTGCCTGCAGCGCTTTCGCCTTTGAAGTAAAGCAACAGCCCTGCATCGACTATTCGATTAGCTAATTGTAACATTAGCTAAATGTAACATTCCTATTGCAAAACACAAGAAGAAAGTTTCAGTAAAAGAAATGCTTCAAAGTTTGTGTTCAGAATTTTACCTGGCGTATCACAGTATTTTTTCCCTTCACTTTTTGCAATATTTCCAAATCCTTGTTTATATGCATCCCATGTTCTCCCGAAGCCAACACTGCCATCTTGGCGGTTCTGAATCAAAGTCCATCCTGCAGGGGCAACAAGATGTGAATTAAATTGCAGTTAACAAGAGAACAAACACTGTTATCTTGTAAGCCCGCTCTTGTTTGTGTTAAGGGACGTGTTAGAAGGCGACTTCCCCTGTTGAAGCTGGAGGGCCTGATTACTGAAAGAAGCACACCTCAAGAAATAGCAGTTGATTACCATGGAAAAAGCAGATGGAATATGCAGTGCAGGACATGCTCACTCAGTGATAGCAGAAACTACTAGGAGTGTGCAGATTCCATCAGATTCTTGGGATTTGGGACTAAGACTCCAGGTAGGAAGGGCTGGGAACAGCCACTGAAGGTAGAGAGAACCTGGGCAAACAGGAGGACCAAAAGAAAGGGGCCATAAAGCTCTCCAGGAAAGGAGACCTGGGAGAGATGCCAAGAAAGCAGGAGATGGACTGTAGAGGACCCTAGGCAGATAGGCCTGGAAGTAGGAAGAAAAATGTTTGTCTTTTGGACTTTAATTTGGGACTGCAGATTTTATTTCATATCCATGTGCATATGCAGACCCAAAAATTGGTATTCTGACCACATAAAAAGTATACAGAGTTGGTGTAATAAGTTCTAAAATGGGAGGGGGTGGGGGCAGGGCACAGTAGAGTGACTTCGAATCACATGGCCATTGACTTCAACTGGAACAGGACTGAGCCCTTGTATGTTCACGCAGCAATGAGACTCCTATGGGTTGCCCAGGCTTGCAGACTCGGGATTGCAGGGCTTCGGATTGTGGGGCTGTCTCATTGCTGGGTACACGTTTGAGCTGGAGCAGAAGCTCAGGCTTTAGGACTCTGAAGGGTGGAAGAATCCCAGAGCTTAAGAGTCTAGTTCTACCAGCCCTACTCACATTGACTAGTAGCTTATCCTGTGAGTAAGGGACTTGTTTAGTCCCTTATTATAGATGTGATCAAAGTGCTAATGAAGCAAGAGTGCAACCTTTGGCGGTGTACTCTCTGAAATAACTTATAAGAAGTTAAACTGCTGTACTAGCCAGTGTTCCTATATCCTTGTCAGAAGCAAAGAATGCATGTTGTAGAATCTCCATTCAGGGGCAGATATAGGGCAGGGTGAACGGGGTGGCCGCCCCGGGCCCCGCGCTTCAAAAAGCCCCACGCATGCGCCGTGGCGCCACCGCACATGCGCATGGCGTCATGGCGCATGCGCCATGGCAAAGGGGGGCTCCACGAAATTATGGTGCCCGGGGCCCCGCAAAACGGTCATCTGCCCCTGTCTCCATTGATGGAGGTTTTAATATATTGCAGGCTTTGAAAACATGCAAGTTACTCTCCTCCATGCACCCAGCCAACTTGTCTGGCCAAAGGACAAGGCAGAGTGACGAAGGAGCCAAAGCTCCCTATCTGCCCAAACTGTAAGCATCTGGGTCTCTGTCCTTGCACTCTGCTCTAGGAAGCTCCAACACAGCCCATGTTCAGGGTGTGGAAATGGGGGAAGTCAGACTCCCTTCTTGCTCCATAGCCACTGTAAGATATATGAGTTAAAATTTCATCTACCAAGCCCAGACATTGATTAGCCAACAATTCTTTCTCAACTTTATTAGAGAAAATAGGCCACCTTCCACTCCAGCAGTGAGACCCCTCAGTACGTCGTTCTCAAAATGTTCTGTAGATGACATTCGGAAATGGTTCACAAGCCATCACTTGAGAACAATTGCTTTAGATTAACTAATAATTAGCTTCAAAAGTTACAGTCTCAGCTAAGCAACAAATGCAAAGAAATACAGGAAGTGCAAATTATTGTTATGAATATTTATAGCCACCACTGTATTGTCACTGTACCACAGACTATTTCCCACTTACCTCCTCTTTCTGTGCTCATATCACAGTAAACCTTGTATGGTTTGAAGAAAGCATCAGGCTGTATGAGGTACATTTCAGATGATTCACCTCCTTTTCTGATAATGTCTTCACACTCTGCAATCATAAATCAACCATTTATTTTTAGGAGTGATCTATGAAATTCTAGCAGATCAATTCTCTGCATAAAGACAATAATTAACAGTATAGCTTTCTATTTGCTAATTATACAGAGATATTTTGCAACATCTAATTCTGCTTGATGTGACTTTGATTTAAATTAGATTAAAATGTTGTAGGAGGAAATCAAGAAAGAAAGATTAATACATCCGTATTGTCCCATATTATTAGGTGAGATTTTCTAAATTTCCTTAGTGACTTAGGAGCACAGATCCGCTGACCTGCAATGCCTTTTTAAGAGTCATTGTTAACTTGTACTCCCAAATCATCTAGGTGCTTTCGAAAATCCCACACACAACAGATAAATAAGACAGCTAATACATATGATTTTCCATTCTGGATCAAACCAGTGGTCCATCAACTCTGATATCCTGATTGGTGACCGGCGTCATATGCTTCGGAGAAATGTGAACTTGTACCCAGAATGCATCTGTCCATTGTACAGTGATATAAATGGGTGAAGGAGAGATTTCTGTACATGTAAATGAGTTACCTTTGCCTGACACCACTGGAATATTGCAGGAAACAATGCATGAAGAGCGGCAATTGTCCATCTGGGTTGCTATAGCATTTTCCAGTTTTTGTATCTTTTTGTGTAAGGTATCCACAACTGAACGGAGGACTCGGAGACTAGATGGAATGTTGTTGTCCATGTTCTCTCTGATAAAAGTATAGTGCTGCTCTATCTCTGTGTTGTACTCAGAAATTACATTTTCATTGTCTAGAAAAGAGAGTATAACAAGTGCCACAATTTTCAACACATTTTCCAACAAGCGTATTCTAATCCAAATTATAAACCATGATCCACTCAGTACTATTTGAAACTTTATTTCTACTGCAGCAATGAAAAGAGTGCTCTAAGGCTACGTCTACACTGTGCAGTTATTTCAGAATAAGCTATTCCGGAATAGTTATTCCTAAATAGTTTATTTTGAAATAGCATGTCTACACTGCAGGGAAGCCTCAAAATTAGTCTGAGGCAGGCTTCCCTAATTTAGACGTGCTATCTCAATTTAGGGTATGTCTAGACTACATGGCTCCGTCAATGGAGCCATGTAGATGAGTTTACTAGACATAGGAAAATGAAGCGTCGATTTAAATAATTGCCGCTTCTTTTACATCAAAATGGCCACCGCACTGTGCCAATCAGCTGTTTGGCGGCACAGTGGAGCAGTCTGGATGCAATGCGGTCAACAAGGGAAGCCTTTGTTGACCGCTCAGGTATGCCTCGTGAAATGTCTAGTAAACTCATCTACATGGCTCCATCGATGGAGCCATGTAGTCTAGATATACCCTTAGAGCCCCAGAAGAATAACTTAGAATGGCCCTGGTGAGGGGCTATTTCGAAATAGCAGAAGTGGAGAATCTACACATGCTATTTTGGAATAGGCATTATTCTTTGTAGACTTTACAGAAGTCTGAATAAGCCATCCATTATTTTGAAATTATTTTGAAATAACGGAATTGCTGTGTAGACGCTTGCATAGTTATTCCAAAATAACTTTGCTGCGTAGACACACCATGAGTGACCTTTCCCTCTCTTCCCTATTTCACAGTGTGCAAAGGGCTTTAGCCCCTGTAAAAAGGACATACTTTTAATTCTGGCTCCATAGAAATGGGCAAATTTCTTATTGTGATTATATTCTCCCAAGGGCCTGTAGTTAGCATCCTTACAGAAGCTTATTATGGCTGTCCAGGAGCTGGGGACATCTAGGTCACACTGGAATAAAAGACTAGCAACATGACTGTGGCTGGCCTGGATCAGCTGATTTGGGGTCACAGGGCTCAGGTTGCAGGACTAAAAACTGCAGTGTTAGTCAGATTTCAGGCTCACAGATTGGAGCCCAGCAATTTTGAAGTGCTGCAACCTGAGCTCTGCAAGTCTGCATCAGCTGACTTGAGCCAACTGCAGATGTTTAATTGTTGGGTAGAGTAAGCCTAGGAACCGAATGATAGTTTTACCTTTGACTTCTATGAAAGCAGGATCAGGCCTCGATCCCCTCAGTTAGGAATTTCTAGATTTAGTTTTATGGGCTTGTTATTTAGCTATTGAGACTAATGCTCCTATTTTTAACCTTTTTAAATAAGCCCTATATATTTAGTACTGGTAGCTATATAAATTTGTCTGTAATACCGATTTACTGCAATGATGCATAATAACAATGTACCTTTTACTTGTTTCTGTCTTTTTGCCAGTTTATCTTCTAGTGTATTTATGTACTGATAGAATGTTGTAGAGACATCAGACTGTTTCTCTACTTTTTCTTTCAGGTCCCGAAGGTCTGATTTTACACTTTTTTCCTGTTTTACCAATGAAGTTTGCAGCTCACACCCAGTTGGACACAACACTCCCTAAAAGAAAGGGGTGGGGGAAGGGGGAAGAGTCAATTACAAGTGCTATAGATTAGGAGCAAGATTTTCAAACCTTGGTGCCTAAAGCTAGATTCCCAGTCTCTCATTCAGGCACCTAAATGAATAACCAGATGTCCAAATGTTCTGAGCATCTAACAATTCTAAGCCATTTATTTAGTTGTCTCAATATGGACTCAAAATAATGTGGACATTCAATTCATAGGGGGAAAAAAAAACCTCGCCGTCCTAAGTGGAAAAAACAGGCTCACATTCCAGTCAGGGATCCTTTTTGATAACTCAAAATTCAGGGTGGGGAGAAGACCTCCTCATTTCTATGATCCACCACATACTTTTGCCAGCCATTTTGCAAGCCATAAAGAGTGGGAAGAGAGGATCCTTTCTCTTTCCCTCCCACAGCACAGTCATGTGAGTAATTAGGGTCAGGCACAATCTAGCTCATAATTATTTACATTCATCATCTAGGACTCAGTTCTGCCTCTCTGCTCATTGTAGGTAGGATCAGACTCAACAAGCAAGGCCATGAAATCAACAAGATTACTTGCTCCATCATGCTTCTTAACATGAGCAAGGGAGGGCAGAGTTGGGATGTCAATGAACTACAATGGCCACTTCTTGGTGTTTGATTGATTAAGGAAACTGTTCTTCACAACTATTAAAGGAAGAAAAAATATTAAAGAGCACAACAGTTTAAAAAGGTGAGTTCTGAAAACTAGTGATGGCTGTAATGGTTCTGGAGGAGTATGATCAAAGCAGTACAAAGGGAAGTCCACTGAATTCACTGTAACTGCCCGAAGGTTACTGAATATTCCAAGTACAAGATACCTGCTGAGTTGCCAAACGCATCACTGTGAGGTTTAGTATATTGCTGGAAGCCAGGGTACAAATATTCTTAAGTGTAACTGCCTCCACTGCAGTTACAAGGGAAACATACCTACCAGCTCATCTGATGCATGCTTGCAGCCTCCTGCATCAGGATAAACAATATTTTCTTTCTTCTGGCCCCGAGTAGGTGGTTTTGTTGGACGAGCCTGATATCCACCTTTACTAATGGGAGGCGGAGCTGGTCTGAGAGTTGGAACTGGCTCCCGTCTTCTATCTACTGGTCTGTGACCTCGAGCATCCACTCTTCCACCATCAGCCTGCACAAATCCAGAGGGACAGAAAAAAAAATCTTTGTAATTAGGATCAATGTTTGAAAAGCAGGCAAACTGTCAGTATAAAATAAAAATAAAACAAATCCATTTGTAGTATATTTTACATCTCATGTGTCTTTCATGTATTTGTTAAAAAAATACTCTCATTCAATGCAGGAAAAAGACATGAGCATCATTGTGGATAGATGAATCAATGTGCTTTGACAGTAAAAAAAAAGTGAACACGTATGGTCAGTTAAAAGATTAAATTGAAATTAATACTGTAATTAAGCTGTACTGTTATCTTCCAGCAAAACTATTCCCTCATCTCAAAACAGACATAACAAAAATAGAAAAGGTCAGAAAAGCTTTATAACAAGAAACTTAAAACTGATAAAAGAAAATAGATTATTTTATATAATCATGACCACTGGACACGGAACTTCAAATCATTACTAGGATTAAAAAGGAACTGCTGAATACAGGATGCAGGATTTGGCCCTAAACGTTTTGTTTAAACCAACAAGTTCAGGATTTGCAGGTCTGATACTTCATAGCTTTACTGTGAGAAGTCCCAGTGAGGTAAATGAGACATCTCTTACAAGTAAGGACGACCAAGTGTGTAACAGCTGCAAGATCAAACTCTTAGTGATATCAGAAATAAACAGTGTGTATTTTAGGGTACGTCTACACAGCAGCATTATTTTGGAATAACTGATGTTAGTTCAAAATAACAAAATGCGCATCTACACAGCAAGCCATTATTTTGAAATAATGTCGAGCTGGAGGATTTCTTACTCTGACTTCTGTAACCCTCATTTCATGAGGAGTAAGGGAAGTCGAAGGACTTTCTACTGTGTCAACAGCTCCAAAAGCCAAATTAAGTTATTTCAACTTTAGCTACGCAATTGATGTGGCTGAAGTTGTATAACTTAATTTGACTTTTGCCCTACTTTGTAGATGTGCCCTTAGAAAATGTCTGGCAAGTTATTTGGTAAAACAGTATATCAGAAACAAATACAATTTATAAACCAAGCCAGTTATGCCACAGATGAAAAAAAAATCTGATTTTTGAACCTGGCATTTATTTATCTAGGAATTTGTAAAAGATTTTTTAAAATCTAATTTTAAATTAAATATTGATTTCTCTTAAATTCCTTTCCTTAAGCAAAATTAATATACCAGTAGTACACATTTTTATACCTTCATTTTAGACAGATTGTGGTGGTGGTTTTTGTCATTTTTTTAATTCTGTGTCAGAATGTTATCTTTCTCTTTCAAAATTCAGTGCAGTATGAACTAGGAGTTAGTTCTTTCCTTTTGTTGTCCATTTAGGGTCTGATTCAAAGCCCATAGAATCAATGGAAGACCCTATTCACTGCAATAGTTTTTGGCTTAAGGTACTATTTAACACACATCGTGCTACTCTTTTATTTACATGGAGCTTTTTTATCATTCTCATAAATAAATGTTAAAACTGCTAAACAAGCTTCCTTATTGAATTTGTCTGAGCATGTAATGAAATCCAGTCTTACCTTGGGAGCGTTGTCACTGTCCTACAAAGAGAGAGAGAGAGAGAGAGAAGAAGGAATATACATAAGAAAATAAGAGTAACTCCTTACATGTGTTCTATTACACATATAAGAAAAAAAATAATTACAAACAATTTTACTTGAATAACTTAAGCTAAGGATGAATAATTTAACATTTTATGTCCTTTTTAATTTAATTTAAAAAGCTTATCATTACTATTGTTATTATTATTATCACTACTACAACCTCATCATCATAGTCTACAGAAGCCACGAATTTAACTGTGAAAACACAGAAAAGACTCAGCAATAGCAGTTTCATGATGCTGGCTTGTTTAAATATCGTGATAACCTTCCCCTGCTGAAGGCACTGACAGTGAAAGGCACTTTGTGTTCATATATATATCAGACAGTCCAAATTCTCCTGGCTTGCTAATGATAGGTTTAAACAGAAAGAAGAGTTAACATTCCCCTGTTAATATTTAATTTCTTTGTTCACTTTGTGCCTGAACAAATTCCTGAGTTGAGCAACGTTGATAAGGCCTCCAGGCTGACATGTTACATGTACTCCACATATCTGATGGCATAGTTTAAATATACAAAACCTAAATATCACCTCTTCCTCAAATTACGTGCATTTAATATTTTTCCAAAAATCTTTAGCCTTTTGAACACCTGGAAAGATGCACATCATGTCAACTGAGGTGAATGAAATAATACCAAAAGTCACAAAAGAGAAAGCCACTTTTTTTTACTCCTATTTGAAGCCTCAGACTTTTTAAAACATTCTGTTAAATATTTATCAAAATTCATATAATACACAATGCTAAGCTATATTGTATAGTCCCATGGCTTTACGTATGCACTCTTCTAACTACATTTCTATGAGCATCATGTTTCCTGTAGTATATTAGCACAAACCTCAGTAAGGCTATTAAGACAAGTACATAATGCTTACAAGATAATTGTCACTTTTCCTGCAACAGCAAGAAGTCCTGGTCGGGAGTAGAGTCCTAGTGAGCTAGGACCCACACACACACATATAATAAAATAATAATAGAGATGTAGCCGTGTTAGTCTGGTCTTGCTGAAATAAAAGACAGGATGCGGCACTTTAAAGACTAACGAGATGGTTTATTAGGTGATGAGCTTTCATGGGCCAGACCAAGATAGCTCTGCCCCCAAAGAATTTACAAACTATAGTCCCTATCCAGCAAATCACTATAGCATTTCAATTACAATGGGACTACTCATGAACTTAAATGTTCAGCACATTTTTAAGGGCTTCCTTAATATATATATTATTGATACAAGTTGATTCCTATTTAATCACTTAAAAATAAAAAGGTTTCATTTCCAAAAGTGCTCATCTTCCTTTTACTCCCCTAAGTAACAAGTCCAGATTTTGAAAACTGCTCAGTATCCACCTGTTTTCAATGGGAGTCACCGAATACTGAGCCTTTTTGAAAACCTGATAAAATTCATTAAGATACCTAAAAGGAAGAATTATTTTCATAATCTGTCCCAGAGTTTACAACCTATACATATTTTTAAAAAGAAAACAAATTTGGAAAACAAACCAAAAGTGCTAAATAAAAATTAATAGATCAAACCTGCAAATCCTTATTTAAGAAAACAGTAATTGACATCAAAAGGTCTACTACCTTGAGTTGGCAGAATCAGGCCCAGAACATGCAACATAACTCCCAAGATAACCAGGAAGAGTTGGATGACTCCTAAGTGTCCTGGTTAATATTGGGGTTATTGAAAGATATGGGGGAGGGGTTAATAGTAAGCAAAATATTTGAAAATCCATCATAAATGCTAGCGCTACTGCCAATGGTACCTATTATGTCAGAAATACAAACTTAGGACCCATTTACCCTCACTAAAACAAAATCCTTAGTATATACCCTTTTTTGTTCCAAGATGTTGCTTGTGTATCTCAAGAAATGGTCTGAAAATATTCATTTGATTTATTAAAGCTGACTTCATTTCTGCTGTGTTTACACCCTATTTGTTCTCCCGTAATTAGTATTCTAGTAAATAATTTGACTAGCAGGAATATTCACAGTAGCAGTGTAAGCAAACATAGGAGAATAATGATGGAAGGACAATTATGAATTTATAATTGTGAATATTCATACTAGAAACCTGATTTTAAGAGTTGTATTTGTACAATCAAGTAAACAGTCAAAATTAACCAACCAAACTAGATTTGCTCACAATCAATCTACAGATTGGAGAAATTATAATTAATATGGTGAAGAATAATTTGGAGAAATTATAATTAATATGCTGAAGAAATTTTACTAGATAATAAGTATGAAAAATCATAAGCTTGATGAAAAAATTCACAAACCAAAGAGTCTACATTCTTTGAAATAATAATAATTTTTATTCTATATATATTTCACATATATAGTTCTTTCCCCTTATTAAATGCAAAAGTAAATTACATAATCAAGAGACATCTTATACTTATTAATGATAATTAATAAAAGAATTACATGTTCAGAACATATTGTACAATTAAAGTATCTTATTAAATGGTAACAATCATAATGTATCGAAAGTGGGGTTAAATTCCACTAACATAAGAAAATGTATTTAATTTATTAGATAGTGAATTTTTATATATTTTTAGAGGAAATCATGGGAAATTATTTGAAGATGATTTGTATAATCACAATAGGTGTCCACATTTTGAGGTAATATTCAGTTGATGTTAAAGGTGAGGTTTTCAAAGGCAGAAATGGAAGTGCCTAATTCTCCTTGCCTCTGACAATCTCACCCAAAGAATACTGTTCTAAAGAAGTTCCCTTGGGCTTCCAATCCTTATCTACTAGATGCTCAATGTGAACAATACAGTGTATATTATCTTTTTGTCCCTACATATGTGTGCATAATTCCTAATGGAAGTTTCATACTCATATGCTGAAGCAGAAAAAATCCGTGCCTCAGTGTATATGCTATAATAAAATAGACAGTGGCTGTCCTGTCACCTTCTACTTGGCTGAAGGTCAGAACTCCAGGGCTATGTCTAGACTGCCCCTCGTCATGCCTCATTTGCATAATTAATGAGGCTCCATTTTTGTGCAAGAGGCTCTTGCACAAGAGCCTTTCTTCCTCCTTTTTTTCAGGAAGAACAGCTCTTGCACGAGAGGGAGTTTTTGAGCAAACACGGAGCCTCATTAATGATGCAAATGAAGCGCAGTGATATTCCATGCTTTGCCTCACTTGCATACTATTTTGTGCAAGAGGGGGCAGTGTAGACATAGTCCAAGTGTTTGATTATATACCTTGCTAGTAGGCACCCTATAAATAGGTTCTCCAGTCATTAAAGCTTGTTCTTCCATTCAAATAATAGGGGCCTTCTTAGGAGCAGAAGATTTGTTTTTGTTCCCCTTTTATTTCATGTGTGGGAGTTGAAGTGACAACTGTGATTTCTGTATATAAATAGAGCCATAGATTTATTATTTCATTTATTTACTGTTTACTCTCAATATTTTCCTAAAAACATACACATATGGAAATTGTGAGCATACATTCTGTAAAACTAGATCCCTATATATATTGTCCAACATTTCTCCAATAGTAAACACTTCTCAGTTATTCAAGGTTCTCATATAACTAAAGTTTTATAATACCACTGGCTATTTCCCTCTATAATTTTCCTGTAAATTATATATGAAATGCAGAGTATTTTCCTGTAGTAATAAGATAACTATCCAACAAATGGACATTCATAAAACAAACTAAACAAAACTAATTTTATTAAAAAGACATTTTCATTCAAGGGTGACAGATATTTTTATTCAATCAAAAATAGTTTTGAGGATGGACATAAATTCCCCTATAAAGACACACTTTCCTTAGGTGGGAGTTTTAATGAAAAACAAAAGGAAACAGAAAAAGCTGCATATCTTAGATTATTTTTCTGTATCTGTCCTGTTATCAAACTTCTTGTAGGCACAGGAAATATGGGAGCACGATATAACCTGACTGTTGGCTTAATTATTAAACATCTTGGACCAAAGGCAGGCCTGGCCTAAGCAAGTGCTGCCACACTGAATTTGGTCCGTTGTATGCTGACATCCACATCACTGTTACATTTTGTACAACTCGCCTTTCCTGTTAATGTGTAATGAAAGAATGTGTAGAAGCCAAAAATTAGCAACAGTAACACAATATGCTATTGTACTGATTGTACTTGATTGGATACTCCTGAAAGCTATCACCTAGAAACTATTCTAGATACTTATATGTCCTCCATTATTATAGTATTTAAGCACTTTACAATCTTTAATGTATTTATTCTCATAACACTCCTCTGATAAAGGGAAGTACTATTATCTCCATTTTACAGATGAGGAACTGTGACAGAGACACTGACTCAGATCCTCAAGGGAATGACTCATAGCTCCTATTTAAAACAATGGAAGTTAGAGGCATAAATATTTTTGAGGATCTTCAGCATTACAAAGCAAACCTCCAGTGAAGCAGAGAACAGAAATTGGGTTTCATGAATCCCAACCTAAGACCCTAACCACTAGGAAATCCTTCCATATAATTAAAAACAAGGAGTCCTGTGACATCTAAAAGATTAACAGGTGTTTTTGGGGCCTAAGCTTTCGTGCATAAAAACCACTTATTCAGTTGCAAGTGGTTAATCTATGAAAGCTTATGCCCAAATAAATCTGTTAGTCTTTGAGGTGGTACAGGACTCTTTTTTATTTTTTTATTTTTTGCTGATACCGACTAACATGGCTACCCCTCTAAGACTTATAGTTAAAGTTACTAATAAATTTACACATTTCTAATTGTGTTCTGCTTTAGTTCTTCTTTTGATAGTGCACTCTTAAATACTTGGTCCTAGCAATGTGTTTTTCACTAAATTAAATAAACTTTAATTCTATTCTGATGGATTAAGAAATATGCAGTTGTGAAGACAGAATCCAGGCCCTGATGTCCTTCTCTTGGATGGGTCACTGGCATGAGAGCCACAGAAAATTTCCCCATGAGCCTTCGTGACTGAAATTCAGTCTTTGACCTATTCCCCTCAACATGTTCAATTGACCTCTCTAACTTCCCCTATACTGTTGTCAAAATAGAGCATATCATGATTTATTTATTGCAGTTTTCTGGGGATTTACCAGGAAAGCAAAACAAATTAACAATTTTGACAGTGTACACAAGATATTTTATAACTTCAAATTGCATATGCTCCAGTACAATGGGACCAAACTACTGTTATTAGTAATGATAAAAACAAACTTTTTCAGGGCCCCCAATAAGGAAAAGTTTATAAACATATTATTTTTCAAGTTCCTCTCTTTTTATTCTTCGTGACTTCAAGGGATAGAAACTGAATTACAGTTGTAAAGGTTTTGTCACAAATTTCATTAGTGATGATAAAATCATAGAATCAT